CTCTCTCTCTCTCTCTCTCTCTCTCTCTCTCTCTCTCTCTCTCTCTCTCTCTCTCTCTCTCTCTCTCTCTCTCTCTCTCTCTCTCTCGATGTTATACAGGAGAAACCGAAGTATGCGATACAATTGGGAAGGACATGATTCTGAGCTGTAGAATCAATTCCCTTTCCGGTTATACTGTATTTGGCCCACCGTGGATTACGTACGAATTCGAATGATATTTATTTGAATATTATCTCATTGATAAAGAGTAATTCAATAAATCAATATATTCTCATATTTTTTTCGTTTTAGACTTTTATATAGTCTAAATACATCAAACAAACTTAACGATTAACTTAGTGATTACTCTCATCTCTTTGATTCATTATTTAGACAAAGCTTAAGGATGATAAATTCTGTCATTTAAATAGTCGCATGATATAAAGATAGTAAAAATATATTATAATATAGCGCATATATATGTGTATATAGTATGTATATAGTACATACTGCTATCTCATAATTTCTCCCAGTCTCTCTTTGTGCAGAAGCTACACCATAGATTGGTTCTAAAAAGCGCAATGGCACCATTTACTAAAACTTAGAAGCACTTCCTTAAAGCTATAATTTATAACATAAACATTTTCTTACTTTATACATTTCGCTAATACAAATTACATCGCATAAGAAGGAAAAGCATTAACAAAATTGTCTTATTGTCTTACATAAGAATTATCATAAACAGACTCGATTATAAAATTGGTCCGATATTAATACTAATATGTATAATTCCTCGTGACTGTCATTGAGTTTCATTTATGTTACAAAAGAATATGTTTCAAAAACGCGCTATTAATGTAAATATATTTGAATGTAATTGTAACATTATGTATTATATAACGTTTTATACTGGATGATAATCGCATAGTAGCAATCAATTATATATAATGAGTAAATTACATATAATCATGACAAGAACCTCTGTTGTTAAAAGGCAATGTTTAAAAATATATTACTAAATATTTTATTGCTATAATTATTGCAACTTATTAATTCAATTATCGTTCGATAAAGAGAACAAATATAAAAAAGCTTTATTCAAGATACATATAAAAAAATTCTTAACGTGGATACTTAATATATGTGTAAATATGATATGTACATACTTTTATATTTATACATATACGTATGTATATAGTTTAATCTTTTTCTCTTTCAAGGAGATTAATATTCTCCATAAATTTGACATAATATCGAGATTCCCATCACTCATTTATATTTTTTAGGTTAATATTAAAAGCATAAATCACATATCAAAAGTCCTTATATAAAAAACTTTTTATATTTTCGTCTCTAAATAATTTTCTGTATTTGCCGTTATATTTTTATATATCATTTGTATAAAATTTTTAATTGTCTTTAAAATTATCTTTAAAATAATGAAGTTCTCTTTGGAAGAATGACTTAAGTGTAAAGACATAACTTAAAAATTACGATCAAATTTCGGTTTTAAGTAAATGCTTGCAATATTTTAGCAGAATAGTAGAAGAATAGTTTAAGAGTAAAAAACATAGTGTAATTAAAAATAAGTTGTTCTTCCAGAAAACTATCACACAATCAATTTTTATTAGATATAATATTCAAGATACCACCACTTTTGATTCTCTTTTGATTTGATATACATATAAGGCCAGAAATTTTGACTTTCTCATTATATATCTTTTTAAAAAAATCACACTTTGCAGCATAACTCCATAATCTTAACTATTTTTTCTTAACAATTGTTCCATAATTGTGCAGATTTTAGATTTAGTACTCTTCTTTTCCATTCATACTAGTGGGCACATGACTCTGTTGAGTTGCACTTCGAATGACTTCAATCCATCTAAAAATAAATCTATTGTTGTATTTCTCACAAATCTTGACTCTTTAAAATTACAAAGACTTGTGATATATTTACCTCCCAAAAGTATAATCGCTTTCTGCTCGAAAGAAATATACGTGATTCTTGAATTGTAATTTGAATACAAAGTCTTTGTTGATCCCATCTTTTTCCGAAGGTGTCGAAACACTGTATCCTAACAATGGCAAACTAGCCAATGGAAAGTCATCTTGGTGAGATTTGTAGAAGAATAAGCAGAAGTTAGTAAACACAACCCAAAGCTTTTGCCAACCATTGCTATTCTTAAATTTCCGTAGAAGAAATCCACTAAGCTGGTTCTGAAATAGCAAAAACACGAAACATTATTAATCAGTTTTTAGGTAAGGTATCCAAGTATATCGATCAAGGTATCAGTGATTCAAAAATATTAATCGGAACTTTAACATACTTGAAACGCTCGTAATTGATCGCTGTAACTAATACTTGTATTACGATGCCAACAGACGTGAACTGTAGTATTGCTACGTTGTGAGGCCTTTGCACCTCCGCAACTAGTGCGGTCTACTTCTAATCCTATACTATCTCCCACTTCGTCGGCTGAACCTAAAACTTTTGCACAAGAAACAAAACTTAAAAGAAATCGTCTTTTATTTAAAAAAATAAATTAAGAGAAAATATGTTTTCCCTCGGTACAGATTTTGTATTCCTTAACAGTTACTTACTACAAGACTTTAAACTTAAATACGGCATTTTCGCGTCTGACGCATCGATCTGCGTTATAGCCATGTTCAAATCTTCTATCCACCTCTCTTTTTCTTCTTCGTTGCTTGCTGCAACTGTCAGTGACCTGCAAATATCAAATTATTTATATTTAATATCTTTTTTTACTTTATCACACTTTAAACCTTAATAATATAATACTGAAAATATTTCCTTCAAATTTTAATATAATTTCTGACCCTTAAGATATCTTTAACACGACACTCATCCATATTCGTCCGAATTGAAGTCGCAACCGTACTGACGGCTATCATTAATAGACCTCTGTGAAGTTGACACCTCATGTATCAAAAAATCTTTTTTTTCAGTTCTGAATGCACCCCGAAGAGTTCTAGAGTTCCTTATTAATTTTAAAAATAGTTCTGGCGAATTAACATAAAAAAGTTAAATTTGAAACTTGGGGATGCTAACTTCACAAAATGAAATCTCGAAATCAGCGATAACACTAAAAGTATTGGAAATATTTAATTTTGCCATTAGGATTTCCTTTAGAATTCTTAGAAAAGTTCTCGCGATTTTTCATACTTCGGTTCGAAAAATTTCCAAGTCCCGAAGGAGGAAAATTTTTTAACAGTTCCAGCAGTTCTATTGGGAATTCTAAAGGAAATCATAATGGCAAAATTAAATATTTCCAATACTTTTAGTGTTATCGCTGATTTCGAGATTTCATTTTGTAAAGTTAGCATCCCCAAGTTTCAAATTTAACTTTTTTAGGTTAATTCGCCAGAGCTATTTTTAAAATTGATAAGGAACACTAGAACTCTTCGGGGTGCATTCAGAACTGAAAAAAAAAAAAGATTTTTTGAGACGTGAGGTGCCAACTTCACAGAGGTCATTAATAGCACGCGTGCTTCAATAAAATCAGTTTAGCTAGTTGACTCCTCAATAACGATACGGCCTTTTAACGACCGCTTAATATCTATTAGTGTATTTTTACACTTTACTATTACTTCTGTAATAATGTACAATGTACGTATTTTGAAGTATTTGATATTTACTGATTTCCTTGTCCATCGATAATAAAAGCGAAATCCGTTCCAGTTTTATTATCCGCATCTTGAATCTTCATTCCTTTCAACGGTAATTGGCCATGCACGCGGAAGCATTGCGTTGGTTGTTGCGTACGGAATGTATACAGTAACACATCCGAGAACTGCGAAAATAAATGCGACATTAAACCAATTAACGTCGCGCTCATTATTAAGAAATTAAAAAAATATGTAAGAGACTTACCAAGAAGAACATACGTTGTTGGAAACCTTTACGGCTGTATTTCTGCAGGCATCCTAGTCTGATAAACCTTCGACCTTCTTGCACGAGATTATCAAAACCAGTGATGTCTCTCTGCATTTCGCATAACTGCACCAGATTTTCCTACAAAGGCATATTTTTAAAAAATTAAAATACACATAACTGACTTTAATGAAAAGAAAAAAAGCACTTATACAGTCAAGAATGGATCCTTTTCATTCATTTTATTTATCAAGTTCTTATACCAAACAATAATTGCAATAATTCTCTCACCGCTTGATTTATAATCGTGAGTCCTTCGAGCAATGTCTCGCCGAGTCTATCCCTCGCCGCCAAACAATCTTCGAAATCGGTATGATCCTTTGGATAATGATCCAATAGTCCTAAAAGAGCGTCACTTTGAGAAATTAAGAACACGCGCTACAAATCTGATAATCTGATCCCGTACTCACTATCGATAATACTGTTATAATGCAGTAGTCGTTGTAAAGGTTTCAAAAGGAATGAGGTCAATGGCAGGTAGCAATGCTTCTGCGACTCGAAATCACGGCAGAGCTGATCGAAGCGTCGCGACGTTCGCATGGAGTATTCCATTTTCTCCAACACCGGGATCAGGTTCTCCAGGTATTGGTCGTAGAGAGGCAGGACGTTTAAAAGCGTATTGTACAAAAAGTCACCGATATTGTGACGGGCGTTGCTCTCCCAGCGTGCCAGCCGTGCCTCCATTTCTTGCAGGCAGGGCCCGTGCACGTCGGCGAGTAGCTCGATTAGAGAGACTACCGACTCCCCTTCTAGTGCCACTTCGCGAGAAACTTCTTCGCGGAACCACTGCACATAAATATAAGTCACAACTTAAAATTTACGAGTCCTCTTTCTGCTTCCCTAGATCAGGTTCTAAACTAGACTTGCTTCAACTGAGTGCGTTTCCAGCGCTTTAAGTACAAAGCGCAGTTTTACTTACCACATTAATAACATCCAAGTCTTTCTTGTAAGTTCGTTCCGTCATGAGGAGCTCTTTGGCTATGTAATAAGCTTTATCGGTTGGCCATCTCTGAACAGAAAAATAGCAGCTCTTTATTGCTGTTCTTACGGAGTTAACGTTAAAACCAACAGCCGTATTCTCGAACGACAAACCTACCTTCGTTTTTCTAACTTCCGCCTCCTCCGCTTCCCCATTTCGTACATTCTTTACCGGGCTGAGATCCGGCGAATTTACGATGCTCGCGATGTTCACCTCGACTCCGCCGTTCGTCGTCCGTTTATCCGGCGATTTCTCAGCGGCGTATACAGAATTATTGTTTTCCCGCTGATTAGATATCTCTTTCCTTGCGGCTTGGACATCTGCAAATAAATATCAGTTAGGCATCCCCGGGAGAAACAGAAATTCCGCTAAACACGGAGAAATAAAAAATAAAGAGATGAAACAGGGGTGTCGATGAAACATCTGAGGGAATGAGATCCGATGTACATAATATATTATAGGCACGCATGCTACAGTGCACTATTTATGTTGTTTTTATTGCGATTTTATTTTTGCAGAATCGGAAATAAATACCGACGGCTGATTCAAATGCAACATAAAGTTTCGGGAAAATTATTCGATGAATCGGTGGCACATCTATAACAAGTGTTTATAAAATTTCATGTGAATCTACAATTATTCTCGATGTATTGATAGACACCAAGAAATTTATACGTAACAACTAATCGCTACTTTTGGTTCAGCAAGACCAAACTCTCAATATCTCTGTCGTAGACTCTGAAGAGTTCTCTCGTATCTTATTGTCAGCAATAATCATTAAGTGACGTTATGAGGCGGACAAGTATTACAATGTATTTTAAAATAAAGACGCATAATACTCCGTGACTTCGAAAATCTCAGTGGGATACGTGCTTTCTCCATTCAAGAATAAACAAAAATGACCAATCTTCTTTGCGCAGATTACGGTACAAAGGCAGTGATGCAAGTGAAAGGTGCAGATAAATGTTGATAAGCTATTTTAGTAAACAAATGAGACATTAAAGCTAGCGTACGCGGTTTCATTCCTGTGAAAATTCATGCCCAAGCACGTCTATAAAGTACGGCGCTCTAAGTAATAAGCCGACTATAATAAAACGGCGATTGGAAACCGGATGAAGTTAACGTTAAGAATCCATAATGTAGCAACATTCTACATTATTCCACTGATGCAAATCGCATGCGGAAATAAGGAGCATCGTGACGAGAGGCCGCGCGATGCTTCGCAACGGGCGAGCGGAAATTCCTCGGCAACGAGAGAATCTCCGGTCGAAGTTCGGCTTCCCCGACGAGGGGGAAGGCGGAAAAAAATGCAATGAGAACAATAGAAAGAGGTGTATGCGGCACAACTAGGAACAAGCTACTCCGCCTGTAAGTACTCTGTGTTGGCTGTAATAACATAAAGATCATTCAAATACGGAGTGCGGGCCGGCAACGCATTTGCATGAATCTCCGGAGCCTTGAAAACATACTCCTCTGGCCTTTGAGCGTGATAATTAATAGCCGTATTACTTCCAGGCTTATACAACAGCGAGATTGCACATGACTTCAAGGATATTTTGATACTTTCAGCCTTGATCCCGAAATACTTGCGCTCTATTGTGCATTCGTCTTGCGCATTTTGGGGAAACGTGCCTCTTTTTCAATGTACGTGGTGAATCATTACTTTTTTTTTACTTCTTACTTCCCAAATAACTTTCGAAGCTGCAACGCTCAAATAACGAGTACACACAGATTCGTTTACGGATTATGCAAATGCGACAGAGAGCCCGGACTAAGCGGGATTTTGTGCCACTTCAGCAGACGTATCGTGAAACAATGACGAAGAGAAAGAAATCGTAATATATCCACAATTAAGACAGGCATTGTAAGGGGATTACTCACACGTAATGTCATCCGTGTCGAACGACGAATCCGGGCATTGCGATAAAGAGATACGGTATGAAGAACGAAAGAAAAAAAAATGAGAAGAAGAGGACAGGCCACATCGCATCCGGGGAGGGGGAAGAAACGGGGAAATTCAATATTCAATTCGCCAAAAAAAATCGATGGACAAAACGAGGAAAAAAGAGAAAGCAATGGCTCGCTGCGAATCTCTGTCGGACCCGAAATTAAAATGTCAATCCGACCACACGTGGACTGATAACGAAAAACGTGAACGTGGGGAGAGAACGAATATTTAACGAAAAGAGAAAGATAGAAAGAGAGAGAGAGAGAGAGAGAAAACCGGAACGAGCGTGCTCGATCCGGAAACCAAAGTGAAATTACTGACGCAGATCCGACATGTGACTTTGTATATAATTTATTGTTATCATAATTAATGTATCAATAATCAATGTACAATAGATTCCCTACGCTTGGAGTACCGCTCTTCGTCCTTCGGACGCCGGTAATTCCCCCACGTCCCTCCATCGAGCTGTGCCTCGATATATATCGTTAGAACACAATCGGTCGATATATCGAACGACCGACGAGACGGCGCATCTCAACCGGGGGAATCACCGCGTAAAACAGATATATTTTTTTTATGTATATATATATATTTATATATTTATTTTTTTATATATATAGCGTTAACAAGTACGGTATATCGATAAACGATCAAAAAGTGTTACACAAATTACAAACGGGGGATAAGGATGAGGGGAGCGTTACGCCGACACGACGGACACCTCGACGTACGTGTATCCTGTACTAATTATCTTGTCCACCGCTTCTCGTTCCGATTGTTAAATCGGGTCCTAATTGTACGCAATTATATGTACCTACGCATGCATACGCGTGTGTGCGTGTGCGCGTATACAGGGTGTCCCACCGCTACCAATTGTCGTCTCAGCTACAGATATCGTAAGAGCAACTGAGAAGAACAGCGAAAGTCGCGGAGCTATTTTAAGATGTTCGATGAAATTTAAACGGCCAATTTTTTTTTACATTGTCGAAGAAGGAAAAAAAGCATCGGGAGAAAGAAGGTCAGTGGAGATATCCTCTCTCAACCGCTTTTTATTTCGGTGAAACGAAATTGAATTTCGGTTGAACGAAAAGAATAGACTCTCCCACCCCACAACCGGGCTGTCAAACGGCGAAAGTAAAAAAGAGGATATCTGTGACAAGGACACCCGGTAGTGATAGGGCATTCCGTATACGGACATTGTATATTTCGAACGCTCACAAATCGAAGCAAAAGTCAGTTGACACGCGAGTAACGTCGTCTTTGCAGACCGGAAACGGAAGATGAGCGAGCTCGAAGTTACGTTGGGTACAACAACGTGTGATTACCGTCCGGTCGATGATTCTCTCAAGGACTCTTTTATTGCTAGTCTGGTAAGCCATTGGAAGAGACGAAGCGTATTTAATAGTCGAAAAATGACGTCGAAATTAGCAAAATACAAACTGGAAGACAAACAATAGTTTCAATGAGAACACTGCGTGACGTAAATTAATATTTCACGAGCCTACTGGAATTTCACATTGTTATTAAAAATGACAGTCTTATAAAAATGTTTGACACTGAGAGATCAAAGTGTAGAAACGCAATGCTTGGCGCGTTGTAATTTGCGATGATATAGAAAAAATTGTCGGCTTAATATATAAATGTTGAGTTTTATCCTTGATAAGGTTTAAAGCCGAATAACGTTTTTGGACACGTGACAAATATCCTCAACAAATATCCGAATCAGAGTAGAAAGAGTTCCGTAAGAATAGCTAATGAACGGCTTATTCATAAACGTTCGTTATATAAATCTACGACTGGCCAACTTTACCCCCGAAATATGTGGAAATCGGACCACATTAATATCCAATAGTTAGAAAATTAAGTGCATTTATATTTGTGCATGCAGTAGAATTTGCGAAAGATGAAAAACTTAAAGTATACTTGGATTATTCTCTCTCTGATTACAACGAATCCATTTATAAAATATTTGGCACTATGTTATCTTGGAAAAGTTCTTTTTACCGTAGTTATAAAAATTATCATCGTTCTACGGGTGATTAGTACAAAGTGCCTGTATTACTACAAAGTACCATTAACGTGTTTCTGAATGAACGGTGCCAAGAAAATATCAAGTGTTTTTCGATTCATCTACGTTATGAACGGCCAAAAGTTATCTTCGTTTTTGCCTTACGAGCTTCAACATAGAATTTGAATAATACCCGAGTATTATGAAAATTAGCGCTTGAACTTTTCGCCAGAGATTTCTCCATTGTTCATATTTTGACGACCTGATACGAGTTCTGAAGAGAATTTCAAGCTTCCACAGAATCTTATACTTTCTCTTTTTGAACACAAAAAGTTCAATGCCACAGATTTAACTTTCTTGATGTTAAGACCAAGTCTCTCTAGATTTCGAAAAAAAAGTGGATAAAATCGCAGTTACATTGAATCCTTCAACTCGGAACAAAATCTGGCCAAACACAAATTACCATTATTATCATTGACCCTGTATTGCATGACTTCTCTTGATGCCAGTCAATTTTGTAGATACAAGACAGCAAATCTGTATCAAAAAATTACTAAAACCTACGTATTTTCCGTAACTAGATTGGCTTCTTTACAATGTTACGAAAATAATCTTCCAAAATAAATAGTAGGATTCGTGATGAAACCGAATACGCTCCGCTACACTTACGTGAAATTTTTGCGTACGACGACCGTGATGCAATAGAGGGTCAACTATTTATAACATATGTCCATTGTGAGTTTTCTCTGCGATTGACTACTCGATACATAACAGTCGTTCGGCTGTCACGCTCGGGTTATATTTAATATATTGATCCCCTGAACCACTATCGAGATACGATATTGAGAAGCACGGAGGATGACTCTTTAGAATTCATAGTAAAAACAAAGGGGTTAAAGGGTATCCATCAATTACGAATTTCTCGTCCCAGGCATCAGGCATTATTGCTAAATTCGTAAACATTCGTATAGTAATGTGTCAAATATGGTAACTCGACTTGTCGGGAGGGTTTAATAGGAGTGAGAACTCTACGTTTCGAACACCGAGGGAGATTTAAACAATTCTCAATCGTCGAGCACCACAATAAGAAATGTTCAGCGCCTTTTGTCATCGTGAGTGATCATCGATTTTGAAAGGTAGGAAAGAGCGCTGAGAAACTTCCCCTGTTACGGTGGTATAATATTTAAAATGTCTCCCAATTGTTTATATCTATCTCGGGTGTGTCCTCTTCCATGGGGGGGGGGGCAAATGGTACAAGCTTCGAATAAATTGGGGGGGGGGGTTGGAAATGGGGACGGAGAGCCGAGGATGATCTCTTACGGTGTCCATATACACATACTGCAAAGATACTGTGATAAGAATTACGTTTGATTGAGCATGGTGGCGTGACCGAGAAACGGACTTTACACAATTGATTAGGGTTTAACGTGACGAGACATTGTGACAGGTGGCAAAATACGTTCGTGATTCGTGACAGGGGCGCTACGTAATGGTTCCAAAGGTTCCTAAATAGTTAATAATTGACGTAGAAGTGTAACATGTGTGCGTGTGTGAGTGAGTATGTCTGGCTGTGTGTGTGTGTGTGTGTGTGTATGTGTGTGTGTAAATTTGTGTGTATTTTGTGTACACGTGTAATAGTGAATAAGATGCGGGAACGTTCAGTACCACGCTGCAACTAGAGATGTGAGTTTGACGATCGCGCTTAGCTATTTCTCCACTCGACAACAATAAAGAAATTGACAGATTATTATTATTTTTTTTATCTCGCTATCACAGCTTAACGCAAGGCAGTAAAAGACGGTCGAGACTGTTGCGATTTTGGTATGCGGAGAGATGTCGCGGCTGATCCGCGAATGTTCCACCGCTTAAATTACTTCTGACGTCTCGGCGAGATCGTGTCCCTTCTCTTTCTCTCATTCTCTTGGCGTCACTCGAAGCTTCCCGACACGCCACTTCGAAAGATATCTCGTGCCCCTTGCCGATCTTTGGGGAGCTGCCTTTCGTAAAAAATATGTAGCGTACCATCAATGTGCCATATCACGATCGTTCGATTGATGTAACTTCGTATATGTTCGTATGAGTAAAATTCACATCTCTACGCACGCTCTAGGCAGGGAGGCAGGAACAATAGACTATTTTTTAAATATATATATATATATAGTACAGACTAATGCAAAAATGTGAGGGGGTGACGTTTTCGAGGGTGAATTGCTTCAAACTGCAAGAGTTAAATGATGGAGATCCTTCGAGTTCGGCTGATGCGACGTCGCGTGTATGTACAATCGGAAATACGTGTCACACAACCGTTACGGTACATTCAGTTCGTGAAAGGTATCTCGAGTCGCGGGATTACTTCAACGACAGCGTTGAGACAGCGCGTTGCCGCGTTTCTAGAAGACTTAATTGCAACAATCTAAGAGTGCAGTGCGGGTGTATCAAGATTAGTGAACATCTTCCGGAGAGAGAGAGAGAGATATCTTGTGCACACACGAAAGTCCGGTGTAATATCAGATTTCGGTCGGTGGAAAATGTTCTCGACGCTTCTCCTTTTGAGATCGTGAGCAACGTGACAGTCTTCGGAATAAATATCGTGGTACGACTGAGGAGTCAAGTGCGTCTAAGATCTAAGGATGAGAGATCTACGGAGTGGAATTAACGAAGCATAGAGAAACATGCTAACAAAGAGAGAGAGAGAGAGAGAGAGAAGCTGGATAACAAAAGTGGTTCGAGAATCCAAGCGAAAACGGAATCGCGAGAGGGGACATTTAATTCGCACATAGGCGAAACCTCAATCCTCTGAGAATACTGACAGGAGAAGAATAGGGAATTTCGTGGCGCTTCTGTACACGCGGAGCGACTTGGACGTATATAATATACATATTGTCCAGATATATATATATACATTGATGGTATTAATACACATATAATGTTGCACACCCCGTGTGCGCCGCTAGACGCTAAGTTTTGGATCTTTCTTTTTCTTTTCTCCGACAGTAGAGAATTTTTACAGGTTTTACGCTGCAATAACGAGAGAGAGCACAGTGTTCGCGGCTTCCTACCTCCCTCTTAATCGCAAGACTTAATCGCAACACCGCGAAGGTGCCGCGTGAAAATCAAACGATCGCAAAGTGTTAACGTTCGAGGAAACTGCAAAGGGACGAAGAGTACAAGCTGGTACGCTCGGGTTTTTTGGTCTTTTGCGCTCTTTTTTTTCGTGTTTGCTCTTTCTTGGTTTTTTTTTTAATGATCTCGTTTCGCGATCCTCTGGTGCGTACGGCCGCGCGTCTACTCGCGCGAGCCTCACTGCCCGTGTAGCGTGGTACTTTCTTAGCCTGAACAGTGTGCGGTGTATGGCTTCCCGTTCAACGTGGGTACAGCGGTAAAAATCGATTAGTCAGGGTGCGTGGTGTTGCGTGAACCATTACGTTACGCACCTGGTTCACGCGGTAATGCATTTGCCAGGCCGGCGAGTTCACGTATCCGTTCGTGTAGGTCCAGCGATTGTAATCACCACCTGTCGAAAAGCATATGTAAAGCACGTATGCATATGTATGTACACGTATATATGGTAGTCTGTCTGGCGCGAAGGCCTGTCACTCTGTTCGTGACGCGTGGATTTAAAGGACCCGTGCGCTCTCCAACATTGAAAAGAGCCGCCGGTTCGGCGCTTCTCCGATGCGAAGGACCCGTCCGTTCATTCGAGGACACTTTCACGTATTTTGCCACAAAAAGGGGGAGGAAAACAGGGCGAAGGAATGCGCCCAGTTCGGGAGTGATTCGCCGTTGAACGAGGACCGGTCTCGCCGATATTGCCAATGTCGTCCTCCTCCGAGCAATCAGAATTTAAATGCCAAACAAAAGAGGATGAAATTTAGCGAAAATACGTAAGTGCAAAAAGAACAAAACGACCGAAGGTTTTCGAGAGCGACTCGATCGTTTTTTTTTTACCGAGAGTAACATCGATGACCTGTCTGAGTTGGGGGGGGGGGGAAAAAAATAAGCTATTCAAGATTGACGGAATGAGGAATTCCGCGACAGGTCTAGGACGCCCTGTCTAAAAATAACCGGTACCGTCCTGGTGTCATTCCCTTTCTCAAATTGATCGACAAGTGCAGCTGCTCGAGGCACTCGGGCACTATTTTTAAATCGGATAAATCAATTTCGCGCGTCGAGCGAACGACACGCCTGACAATCGCATCTCGCGGAGTGAACTTCGAACTTTTGTAACAGATGAAACGTGTATCCTCCGTGTAACTCCGTTTTGCACGGCGGCTCACGTTCAATTGATGCGCACAGAGTGTCCCAGACCCAGTGAGCTATCTCTCGCTCGTGCTGACGTTCGTTCAAAAGGCGTTCCCCACGACTCTCGAGTCGACGCGTCGCACGAGGGACGGAAATACCCGCGTCGGTCTCTTCGATCCCTCCGTGCATTACGCACTGGTTCTGGATACGACACGGCCGTGTTTACGTAACTACGTGATTGGGTGAGAGACATGATGAGGGAACGGGGTCCTCCGTTTCGAACTCGAACGGAGCGAAAACTTTCGCGGACACGCCAACGATCGTGCGCGAGGCATCACGATCTGCGTGAACGGGGGAAAACAGGCGTTATTATGTACGTTTTACAGGAAACAAGACTGAAGCGAGCCGACAACTTGCGCGCAGACACAAGTGAAGGGCTGAGGGAGACAACAAGTGCGTGATAGAGACGATATGTGCGATATGTGTGTAGATGCGATCGGAGATCCTCTAATCAAAGCCCGATCGAGAGAGCGAGTCCGACTTTTCTTTTTTTTAATCTTACGAAGGACACGCGATCTCAATTTGCAATGGCTCACGTAAGGCGCGTCAATATTTGACAAGATATTTGGCTTTGACAAAAAAATTGAAAACCGAAAGGACATTACTGAGATCTTCCAAATGTTTATATATACGTATTCTCTTTTTTTAAAACCTACCAGTTTATTAGCAAAAGAAATAAAGGGGGTACAATTTAGTTTAACTAACATAAGTAAAGTGTTCATTAAACACGAATTAAACCGCACAAGTATACACAGGTATACATTACTGATCGCGAGCTCTTAATTGAGTATATAAAATTTAATTAAGTATATAAATTAGAGTGCTAGATATTAATTAGCTTTATTATAATGAAATTAGAATTTATATGGCAAATACGTATCGTTTACATGGAATTTGGTGAGAAAGAAATTTTCCCCTTTTGCTATTAATTTTTTACACGTGTGCCAGCATTGTTATAAAAACATATATACTTTATATAGTGCTAATTTATTCGTTATTTGTGTTTAACGAAAACGGAAATTTGAGAAAATGCGAATGGTAGGAAAATGATTTTAAAACATTGAGCAATGATAAGGGGCTCTTAAGTCCAGATTCTGATTAGAGTATCTCTGGGGGGTGATATTCATAGTCCGATTTTCTTATGTTATATTTACGATCGTCTTAAGCCGGATCTCAGACGGTACGAAGACTCCATCCAGCCAATGGAACGGCTGTATATTGACTGCTATCTTAAAATACTTAAGACGATCTGAAATTCGAGATAGGACTATGAATACCGCTTTAGGTGCGATATCACATGATGACAGGATCGAATCTGACGATGCACAGATGCAGGAGCCAAGAGACGGGGAGGACGTACCAAAATCGTGAGTCTCGCGGCGAATTCGATAGAGCGGACCGCAAGTCAATGAGAAAGGTCATGAGTCATGAGTGACGCGAGAGATACAGATAGTTAGATAGATAGACAGAGATAGATAGATAGATAGATAGAGAGAGAGAGAGAGAGAGAGAGAGAGAGAGAGAGAGAGAGAGAGTGTGTGTGTGTGTGTGTGTGTGTGTGTGTTTCCGATCGAGTAAACTGAACTGATGGAAAAGTGACGTTACATTGTTTCCTTTCTGTAATGAAATTGCAAGCTCGCACCGTGTCCTGCGATCTGATAGCATTCGTGCGTTCGATCGAATTCGCCGCCGAGCACAGATACTCATACACAAATGGAGACATACTAATCACGCATCAAAGGGTTTTATTCGACTAATCGCCCAGGCCGTGCCACTATAGACATTAACGTAACTAGACCAGTGTGGCGAGTATGACCTTTGCGCCCCCGAGTATATTCGAGGAGACGACTACGTACGTTAACCGTTCGTCGTTCGTGATTCTGCGTCGTAACTTTTCAAAAATTCTGCTTCTTACGACTTTAGTAAATTTATCAAAAAAGGGTCAGAATTCTACCTCGCACATTTGTAACGATTATAATCGTTAAAAATTATCGATGCGCGTGTAAAATTATCCTAGCGTCGAAAGTCCTGTCTGCTTCATTGATTTACGTAAGTCGATGCGATTGATTTTAAATAAATTTATCTTGGTATCGTTGTACGTGCGAAGATCGAGGAAAACGGACAGAAGGAAAAGATGTGTCGTTGTGAATCGAACGCAGATAACGGGGCAAGAGACAAAAACAAAATCTTCGATCTTCGGACCGCGAAGGTGAATCGCGGGAAGCTCTTTTCCACATAGAGATGTATTTACAGACAATCCTCTGGGAGATCTACTTTTCTCGTGTGCGGTCAGATAAGCCGTCCATTGTGTCTGTGTGCCGCTCCGAGTCAGGGCCATCCTGGAATTGCCGAAACCGCGACCCATCCGAATGATCCGGCAACAGCCATTCCGATGGTTCTCGCTTCGGGCAGTCCCGGGATGACTGTCATTCCTAGCTCGGACTACGACATGCACAGGGTGTAATCAGAAGGTCCAATGGTATGACCCTGACGCGTATTGATGTAAATCCTCCGTTCGAATTTAAGCCTATGGCTCGGAACGTGCGCGGATATCAAAACTGTGAGTTCATCAAACAAGGTGATGCCATCGTTTATCGGCACTCAGCGGTCATTCCTTTGCATCACGCGTATTTTTTCCGCTGCGTATCCCTCTCGTCGTAATACACGGGACGTCGTCAAACTTAACGATTTTAATGTATCTGTGTATCATAACGACGATATGTATTGCGAGAATCTCCGATATACCGACAGCACAGATAACGATCTCGCCTCGTTATCAGGTAACGCCGCGATTCCCGAACGAATTATTGACAAATTTATTGCTGCAATTAATTACATTCACCAGAAATCTATTCGTACACACTCCTCCTCAGACATACTTTAACAAGCCTACGAAATTAGTGTTTTAGTTGCCATTTAAATAACCGCGCTCTGTAACGGGAGGGGTAATTGAAGAACCTTAGTTCCGTATTAATTAAGTATCGACCCTGCTGCTCCATTTGAGATCTCCGGTTTATCCATCTGCATCTTTAAGATGTAACACTTCAGTAAATACTGCACAACATTTGAAGAGGTTCGCAGCTTGATATTTATTAATTATCACACCTACTAATGGGAAATCGTATTCGATTAAAACCAATACAAATTCAAAGAGATTCACGTTACGATATAAAGATTTTAATTTAAGTATAAAGAATATGTATCAAAGTGCCAAACAGCAAACGAGGGCATCGACGACTCGACGTAATGTTAAGACGGTAACAACCGCGATTCGAGGATTCCTCATACCCGAGAAAAATAAGCAGAGTCGCGCTTCTGACGGTGCTGTGGCTCAATTGTAAAGTCGCGACTGTAAAAATCGTTATCCCGGAAACACATCGTGCATCGGTAACGGGCGTTACACGTTCTCTCGCATGATCGGTACGCCTACGTCTATTTTACCTAAACACGTCAAGGGAGACACGTGCGCGCATAAACGCGTTTGAATTCGTTCGCGCTGTCGTGTTAAATTGCGCGCACGACGTACATGGTATAAAAACTAGGCACAATACAAGCCAATAAGAAATCCAAAATGGGACTTTCTATTGCTTCGAGTCGGACTCCTTCCACAAGTCTTTTTCGCGGCTAAACCGTCTCTTTCATCGGGCAACAGCCTCCCATAATTCGCTCCCTGTAAAATCGGTCTCCCTCTCGCCATTCTCTTTCCCCCTTAAAACCACTGATCTAAGGAATTGAATAATTACGAGCTGTAAAAGTATACACATGTACCAGTCGTAGTACAAAGTCTCGAATAGAAATTTTACCGAACAAGCTGAAGGAAAAGAAGAGAGGGTAAAACAGGAGGAATCAAACTCCCCCGGAAACAGCCGAAACGCGTTTCTACCTGCGATCCTCCCCTCGCAACAAGTGTCGGCGATAAACAATGAGCCGCCCAAGTAACAATCTTAATGCGGAGCACAGATCTGCCGGCCTGATCTCGCGGGTGTGTTTGTCGCTAGGCGAATATAGTCTCCCGGATTAATGATTAGACGAAGCTTAGGTTCCCACCTAAAACCAGAGAGCTTAGCGGCTACTACACGGTTGGTCCTTAGCCAACGTCTATTAACGAGTAACAGGTGCTCCTCTCGCTCGTCGAGAAGCGAATTCCGTACGCGGAGGATATATCGGGGAATGCACCTGCCGGGGGATGCGCTGTTAAAAGCGCGGTGCGCGCGTTTACGTATCTACGTTGAGCAACTTTTTCCCTCCTCTCTTTCTAATTCGCGTGCGCGAAGCAAACCGCGGCGAAATCATAGGATCGCGTTGTCGTTGCTGTTCGGAATTCAATTCGAACAACGGAAACAATCGGCCCGGACGACCTTACGTAATTCCGCGTTTCGTCTCCCTCGTTTCCCCTCGAGGGACCTACCGTCCCGAGCGACCCGTCGCTCGCGATTGATTGTCCTGGATGAATTCAAGGTCGCGCGACCGAGTAAAACGTCGTACACTCGCGACACCGTGATTCGGCGGTACTTCGACCCTTTTAACGTTATTACGATTGCACGATTACGCGCCGTGCTGTAATTATATAACAAAGCTACATTAATTTTTTCCTTTCTTTTTTTTGGAACAAAAAAGTACGTTATTCGTTCAAATATCCGTACGATTTACCCTAGCAATGTCGAAAGTATCTCGTGCAGGAAACGAAACGAAAGTACGGGCCGATCAAAGGGTTAAAAGTAATGATCACGAGGACGCGGCTCGTTTTCTCAATCTTACGATTATCTTCGAAGATTCTACGTCGCCTCCCCTTCGATTTCTACGCCCTATCAACATTATTAATTATTAGAATATAACGTGTCGCGCGTAACGGTTGCCGTCCTCCAGCGAGTCGCGCGCGGGCGTGCCGATAAGTTAAGATACTCCTCGCTTCCCGTGTGTCATGCATGAATATTACTCGCTTAAGTATACTCGTCTCTACGGAGGGGACGGGGACCAGAGGGGCTCTATCGTGATATCAAAGTAAAACCGGGCCTCTAAAACGCGTAACAAACCGTATCCGTATCCCTAACGATAATTATGCTACATTCCACGCGCAGCTTTTGATCATTCAGCCACGGGCATCGCAGCCCGGAACGACGGACATCGTCTTTGTCTCGTCCTGCCTTCGCCGTTGGTACCCTCGTCGTCGTTCATACCCGTATAACTCTCGATTCGCGATCGCCACCCAGCGCGATGCCGCTGGGCGGATCGTTGTTGAATCGTCATCGTCGAGGTCGCGGAGGGCCAGACGCTAAATCGTCGACTCGTTCACGAGACTCGTCCCCCGCTTCGTCTTCCTTCGCGTGATTAGAGACATGAGTCGAGAGTGCCAACGCACGACCACGGAGTCTGTCAATTCTAAAGTGCGTTCAATTCCACACGACTGGGAACTTTTTCTACAAATCCTGCCAGTTTGAGCCCGGCTGAGCGCGATCGGTCGCGCTCAATTCTTCTCTCTATCACGGGCAATTTCCGTTTAGCGTCGATCGTCGACGTTGCGTCAACGCTGCTGCTGCTGCCGACGCTCGTCCTTCGTCTCGGACATCTCGTCGTCCTCGTCGTCATCCACGTCCAAACTCTGACCCTCCGTCAGCAGCGGCGGCGGTATGGTCGCCACGTCGAAACTGGAATCGGTGCTGGATACTATGTGGCCATCCTTGACCTCGAGATCGACCACCACGCGATGTCGCCTCTTGGCGTTCTGCTGTCGCTTCCGGCGGAAGGCCCGCTGGCCCCGATCGGGCGTGTGCGCCGGGCTGTCCATGCTCGAGGAGGTGTCGCCCTCGCTCTGCGGGCTGCGGCTCGACGAGTAAGGCATCGTCTTCGTTCTGATCTGCGTCCTGATCGGCATAGGCGGGCTGGACGTAGTCGACTCACCGCTCAGGCTCGTCGTGGAGTAGTACGGAGTCGACTTCGCACGGATCGGCACCACGACGGGCCGCTCGGTGGACCGGGTGCCCTGATACCTGCCCGCCTCGTGCGGGCTCGGCTCTGAGAACCCACGGTCGAATTTGCCCGTCGATCTCGTCGACGCTTTCCTCCGCTCCGGGACATCCCTTCGTTCCTCGGACGACCAGTCGTCGTCCGCTATTCTCGGTAGGGTCAGGTCGGCATATTTCTCGTGCATATCTTCCGAACTGTCCCCGCGGCCGACCTCCACCCGCACTTTGTCGCCACTGGAATACTTCATTGCGGGCACATTGTCGTACAACTGATCCTCCTCGTCCTCCTCGGGGATTGGCAACGCCGTGTCGTCTACGCAGAGCGTGTCCTCGTCCGGGACCATTTGGAAATCATCGTCGATAGCCTCGTCGTACTCGTTTCGAAGCGTGATACGAGGTGGCGAGACGTCGGCGAATTCCTGGGGATAAACGTCTCGCTGCTCGTCGTCGTATCGGCGTAGGCGATGGTGCTCGTCGAATTGATTCTCGATAAAACGCCGCGCCTCATCGAACTCGTCACCTTGCGTTCGAGACTGACGTAGATCGTCGTCGTCCTCGACGGTCGCCTCGGCCTGTAAAGTCCCGTGCTGTTCGATCGCGGAACCGGCGGCCTCGTCCTCGTGAAACGGAGAAGTAGCCGTCGCGGGTGGAGAAGGCAGTGGTGGCGACACGGGCAGCGGCAGCGAAGACGGGGACGGCGGAGACGGGAGGGAGGAAGTGTCAGCGGACTGGCACTTCGAGTTCGGCCTCATGCTGGTCGCGCTTCTTTCGGACGTCGTGGTGTCACTCTGACTCTTGTCCGCGGCCGTCGTGGCATAGTACTGCTGCGGTATCACCGTCGTGCTACCCGACCAGTCCGAGATCGAGGCGCCGAGCTCCGCCAGCGAGTTGTCGTCAGACTTCGTGCCCGAGTACTGGCAAAACTGGCGCACGGTGTTATTCGAGCTGGACCATTCGGACATGGACAGGCCCATCGACGTGTCCTCGCTGTGGGACGAGCCGGTTATGTGCGAATTCGATTTCGGTTTCACCGTGATCTTGACTGTACCGTCGGCCGTCGCGGAGGTCGAACTTTGCCCGTCCTCCAGAAGAGTCGAATGCAGATCGTCGTGCAGCGTCCTATTCTCGTCGCTGGAGTCGCTGTCTTGGTCCGCATGGACGGGCGTGTCCGTGCTGTCCGTAACGGTTACCTTGACGGCTTCCTCCGGCTTGATTTCCATGTAGAACGTCTCCACGTGACTCACTATCGGTGTTTCGAAAACGGGTGAACTGGGCGGCGACGGCCAGTCCTCGGAACTTTGCAATTGCAATCGCGAACGCCTGTTCGTTCGCGGTGACCTCGAGTCATCCTCGTGCGCGCCGACCACATCAATGGGGATGTCTGGCAGCTCAGAAGACGTTCTGCGATCATCGGAAACGGATGGTAACGCCGTGCCGGATGGAGGATCCGATGATAGAGACGGCTGATGATCGCTTGACATCAAAGACTCGTCGTCGAGGCTCGGCGACCTCGAGCTCGGCTTAAAGGAATCTTCCAAGTCGCTTCTGTCTTGCTCCGACGTGGTCGATCGTTCGGATATTCTCGACAACGTACGTGAAAGCGAAAATGCGCCGTAGTTGGCTAATATTTCGGGGCCAATGATAAAGGTGCCAGGAAAGTCCGCTAGGTCCTCTTGGTAACTGTCTTCGTTCTGACCGTTGCTGTCCTCAGACTGCGACTGCTGCGCGTTGTTCTCGTCCTGTGGCACCCAGCCGTCCTCGAGGCTGGAACTACCGGAACTTCCCTGAGGGAATGACTTCCACGTGACGCTCATTTCCTGCTTCGGAGGAGGTTGCGAGCCATTGCTGATGTCATCGTCCAAGGAGCCGCTGTCTCGGGCGCCTTCGATCATGGCGATCTCCCGACGGTCTATTATAGGTTGTATCTGGCCGATCCCTAGTGGCCGGGCGATGGAACAGGAACTGGAGTCCGGGTCCTCTCTGTCCGGTGTCCAAGTGTTGGTCTCTTCACTTCTCGAGCGTTCGGTGCTTAGTCTAAGTTTCCTGTCGATGGAGAGACGATTGCTATCCGCGATTTCCATAGTCCCTTTGACCGGTTCATCTTCTGGTAAATCTTCCGTTGTTTCTTCATCTTCTCTCTTCATCTCCAGATATTCCGGCGTCAACTCGACTTCGACCAACGTCTTCTCGTCCATCTTATCGATACCGTAGTCCGGTGAACTTAGCTCGCTGTCCACGCCTCGCGGGCTTTGTACCTGCGTATCGAGCGCGTCGAGCGTATCCTCGCTGGTATCAAGGGAATCCAGCCGCTTGTTCTCATCTTCTTCCCGATCGTCGATTTCTACTCGCATTTCCACCATCTCTTCCTCTTCCTCCTCCGGATTTACCTCGTCGTCGGAACACTCTTCGATGGATATTTGTATCGGCGACTTGACCATGTCTGGAGGATCGTCCTGATCGTAACGATTCAAGAAGAACATATCCTCACGGGCCGCACTTATAGTTACATCAGGCACGTCATCTCTCTCAGACGGACTTCTCGAACCTTCGACACGAAAATCATGTGGCCGAGAAGGAGACTTCGTTGATGCAGTCTCGCCAATTGACGTATTTGCCTCCCCATCGGAAGCTTCGTTCGGCGATTCAGTCTGTTTCTGCTTACAAACAACTTCCGTGCTAGCGCTTTTCACAAAGATCGTAGAGACTGCCGATTGATCTTGATCCAACTGAGCGCCTTTCGACAAACCCGCCTTCGCATCGGAGCTCTCCTGAGAAATTTCTTGCTCAGCACCGGATTCCGCAGAACTTTGATCGATGAATTTTGTCGGCTCCTCCATTTTGATACTCTCTATGACCTTCGGCGGTTCGTTTCCGTTGGTGGAACTCACAAACGGCATTCGGCCGTTCTCTTGTCCCTCGATGGAAGAAGAAACGATCTCGTTACATTCTGTCAGTGGCGATTCTAGATACTGTGCAGAGGTCTCGGTAACGGACAGAGAATCCGTGCATATCTCCGGTATAGTCGTATGATCGGTACTATCGGATTTGTGATTCGGGGACGCCTCCATCTGGACCGAAAGCTTCGATAACACGCTCGCGCCTAGAGCAGCCTCTTCGGCGGCGTACTCTTGATCCTCCAGCTTCTCCGACACGTCCACTGTGTCATCCTTGCTGGAAAACGCGTTCGCTGGCGGCAGTCTGTGTACGGAGATCACCGCGGCATCCAAAGATTTCGCGCGCCGCTGAGCAGTAGGCGACTGTGTCGCACCTTGACGCTGAAGAGCGCCAATCCCACTACCTTCCGAAAGACCAAGACGCGCGCGAGCGAACAGTATCGGCGTCTGTCCCGGTTTACGCAAGACCAAGGGAGATTGTGTTAAATCTTGAGCAAGCGCAGTTTTCTTTACACCGTCCTTCGTTGGTTCCTTGCTTGGTTCTTTACCTGACTCTTTACCCGGTTCCTTGATTACTTCCTTAGACTCATCGGCTGCTGCGGTTCGTTTGGTGTTCACTGGCTGATCAATCACCACGTCAGGCTTAACACACGGCTTAGAATCCTTCTCTTGTTTAAACTGCTTCGATTCAGTGACAGCTTCCTCGCTGGCCGCCGCCGCCGCTGCCGCCGCCGCCGCTTCCACTTTCAAGGCCACTTTTCCACGTGCTGTTTTCGAGTCCTGTTTCGACGCCATGTCCTTAGCAACAACAACAGACTTGGCGACAGCTTTCATTCTCTTGGGCGAAATTTTCTCTACTGAATCTTTTTTCTCCGTACTTCCCAAACTCTTTGATATTCCCAACGACTTCGGTCTCGACTTCTCGGACTTCACCGCGCCTTTAATCAGCTCATCGTCGACGGATGCGGATTTCGCGCGAGTACTTTTCGTCTCTTCCTTCTCTTCCTTCGACGATGAAAACGGTTTGTCGGACAATCTGGTTACAGATTTCGATCTGCCCTTCTGTACAATGCTTATTTCTGGCGACACATCAGTCGAATCTATTATTATGATCTCTTGTGGCATTTCGCCGAGCTTTAATTTCGATTTGTCAATTTTTGTACTCACTGGCGAACGTGACTCCTTCGACGCGCCTTTCTTCAGCGGCGGTTTGTCACCCTCTAGCGATTTTGATTGTTTTTTGAAATCCTTTTTCGGCTCGGACTTCACCTTCTTCACCCTCTTCGGAGAAACGTCTTGCACGAAGTGTTTATTCTCGACTTCTGGTGAGAGCAAGGTATCAATCGGAGCCTTCTCTTCCGCCAGCGATAAGGACTTCGATCTTATCGGCTCCCCGTGCGGTCTCAGCATGAAAGGAACAAACTCAGGAACTTTAAGACTATCCAATTCTAAAGTAGGTTTCACAGGCACTTCGTCCAAAGGCAAATCGGCGACTGGATCCACGAAATCGTCAAATCCCGTATCGATGATCTTTGGCCTCGATATCCTTGTAGCGGAATTTTTACTAACTTCTGAAAATTTCGACTCTATCCTCTCCAAGATACGTTTCGTTTTTTCGGGAATACTCGGCTTCTCTAACGACTTCGGTTTCTCCGGAATCGGCGGTTTCTCCGGTTTGATTTCCACTGTAGCCGGTATGTGAACTTGAGCTATTACAGACTGTATGTTGCATCCCTTTTGATCATCATCCGAAAATTCGTCGACGGCTCGTCTTGGGGAACGATCCCATTCCTTTACCGTGTATTCGATGTTTCTGAATTGGTCACCTACCATTCTCTCTTCAGCCTGTCCGCCAGGAATTTCGGGTAACGGTATCTTCTCAATGCTATCTTGCTTCTCTAAACTATCGTCTGGCGCTTTCAGACTGTCTTTCTCGATTTTTGCCTTGCGTTCTAGATTCTGCTTCATCTCCATGTCGACGATATCTGCAAAATTCAGGACAGCTTTCACTTTAGCGTCCGTTTTCGCAGTGGGACTTCTGGGCGCTCCGTCGAGAGATTTCTTCTTATGTATCAGAGAATATGCGATAGTCACTTTAGGATCAGTCGGCGACTTTTTGGGCGAACGTTTTTCGCTGGTCGAAATAATGGTGACACTCGCCTCCACTAACGACAATTTCGAAGGCTTCTTATCCAAACTCGAAGACTTCTTGCACGTGTAATCCTCGATGATAACTTCGGCTCTGTTTCTATCTAATGAACCGCCCTTTGGCGAGAACCTCTCGGGAGACTGGGTCTTCGCTTTCGAGGGGCTTCTCTTAACAGGCGACAAACTGCAGACGATGCTCTTTGGATCAGTGGGTGAGAGTTTCGATGTTGGACTTAGAATACTCCTCGGCTTATCCGAGGGGCTTAATATCGATTTTGGTCTTGTGGTAGTAGCTGCGCTGCTCTTCGATTTGTCCGGAGATAATTTATTGCTGGCCTTGTCTGTCGAGGGAAGCTTGGTCAGATCGAAGTACGGGAGATCCGTTACCATCTTTAGTGGTAACTTGGGTAAATCCTTGGCGAGACTCTTGACATTCCTCGAAGCTTTACTGCTGTCCGACTCGGATTTTTCGTCGGACGCAGTGCCGTTCATAACGTGCCTCTTGTGCAATATGTACGGGATATCGACGTTGGGTTTCTGCATCGCTGCGCTGTCCGAAAACGGTTCCTCGTCGCCGGAATCGGCCGGTGTCAAGTCTATGGATTTCTGGTGCATCAGCATGTGCCGCTTGCTGTTGGATCCCAATCTTTGCCGCGCCGGATTCGGGTCGCTCTTCGTACGCTCCACCGGCACGTGTCCGGGCAACGCGGTCTCCTCGAAACCTAGCACGACGCCGCCAACAACCTTCGGCTCGTACTCGGCGAACACGGTTTTCGACTTCAAATTCTCCATCTCGTGCGGCACACCGATAACGGTTTCCGTACGGGACTCGAGAGACAGTTTCACCTGTCGTTCGCGCTCCCGTCTTTCGTCGTCTTTTCGCGCTTTCTCTAAACTCTTCCAGTCGTCGCGTTCCCGCGGTTTTTCTTCCGACTTGACTTTCTCGGATTTACCTCTGCCCTTCTTCTGATCCTTGTATTCCATTCTCTCGATATTCTTCCTACGTTCCATGCTGTCGAAGTCTAGGCACTCGAGACTCCTTCCCTCCCGCGACTCCAAGCGTCCCAAGTGCTTTCGCTCGCGCGAATCCAGCTTTTCCAGGCTCTTTCGCTCGGCGCTCCTCGACTCCATCTTTCTCTCGTAAGCTCGTTCTCTTTGTTCGTAGCGCTCCAAGAATTTTAAACGTTCGATCGCTCGTGGGTCGAAGTCGAACTTTTGAGAATCGAGCCTCTCTGTGCTCATCCTCCGTTGTTCTTTCGGAGTCAAGCGCTCGAATGGGCTTCTGTTATCGGAATCGAAGCGTTCTAAAGTATGCCTTTGGTCGTAATCTATAGAAGCGGCTCTGCTCTTCCTCGTTTCCCGAGAATCGATCCGTTCGATGCTTCTCTCCCGGCGCTCCCGCGTATCCGAATGGCGATGATTGCTCCTCTCCTTGGGACTCTTTAGATACTCCATGCTGCTGCGCAGCCCTTGAGAGTCTAAACGATCGACGCTCTTACCGCGCGATTCATAGAAATCACTGTAATAAAAGGCACTCTTCTCCCTCGAGTCTAGATGCTCGTAACTCCTCTCGCGCACGTCGAGACGCTCGATGCTTCTACGTAGCTCGCGCATATCGATCTGGTCTATGCTGCGACGACCATGGCTGTCCGATCTCCGCTCGTGCGAATCGAGCCGATCCATCGAACGACGTTCTCGCGAATCGCTCTTGTCTGCTCGCCTGCAATCCCTCGAGTAATCCCGCTTTCGCTCCTCCCGCTCGACGCTTCTACGCTCCTTCGACAAGACTTTCTCGATCTTAACATCAGGATCTCTCGATTTCCTTTCCCTAGACTTATGCCCCCGACCTAGGCTACCTGTCTCTACGTATACGCGCGGCGCGTGGTCATCTAGGCTAGCGATACTGCGCGCCCTGGTCGTCCTACCCCTATAATCTATCGTTTTACTTCCATCAACCGGGCTCAGATCATCATCTATTCGCGACTTCGGACGCATAATACCCTCGTCTCGCAGGACCTCCGAGTCCACATGAGTGATTTTATACTTTGGCTTCAGATTCTTTAACTCGTTGAGGACAGAAACCTTTTGCTTCTGCACCTGTATCACAACGGGATCTTTTCTGGCGGAGTCCTGATGTGGAACACCCGTCTTGGACGATTGTTCCACGGAATTGGAATGTCTCGTTTCGAATTTGCGTTCTATTTGAGTGCCTGTTCGTTGTATCCTAGACTCGGTAATGACGAAATCGCCCTCTGCCTTGGATACAGCTGAGTACCGATCGATGGACTTAGTTTTAGAGTTCTTGAGATCAGTGAACGCGGATCTGTATTGTTGTTTCTCCGACGACTTTATCGATCTGTGCTTGACGAAGGAATCGGTTTCAGAGTCCATTTGGAACATTTCGTGCTCGATTCCCTCGTCGCTCTGATCGGATATTGGCTCGTGCTCGTCGTGCGGACTAGAATACGATTCCGGATACTCGAATTCATGCTCGCGTTCTAAAAGCTCGTAAGAATCGTGTGAGAGATCGTCGTGCGACAGATCTCCAGCGGGACCCGATTCCTCATGGCCCGATTCGGTAGACAACGACGACGTTCCCGGGTAGGAACTGCTGTAGACACGCTCGGGGACAGAATCGTGATCTAGGGAAGGTAATTTCGAACTAGCAGCGCTATACGAACGATTACTCTCGTCGTAACGTGTTACGGGGTTATCTAGTTCACCCTGGGAGGCTAAATGGAATGGATCTAATGGCTGGTCCGCGGTGACCTTGTCGTCTCGCGGCCGCGCCTTACCGGAGTCTTCGAAGCTAGAAGCGTACAACTCGCGACAACTAGCCGACCGTTGCCAAGGATATCTGGGCAGAGGTCGTGGTGGTGGGAATTCAGGGGGACTGCTGTTAGAGGGGCTGATACGACCTGTTGATGAAATCCGTTGCTGGCTGGTAGCATGCTGCCGCGGTGCTGGGACCTGGCTGGGGGTGGCTGGCGAATGGACGTCGATAGAGGTGAGCGTCCGAAACGATGTAGCTGTGTCTTCTCGACGGTGAATCGTCCCTCCCATCGAGACACTCGTCACAGTCGTCGGAGAATCCAGTGTCATCGAACCGCAAGACAGAGACAGAGCTGGGGTTGCCAGGGCTGGAAAACACGCGCGATATAAACCCTCTTTCTTCCAACGTCCAGATGTGATATTATGAAATTTTTATACGACACGCGTGCGATTACGCCTGTGCCGTGTTAATTATTCTAATGAATATTTCATTAGCGAAATAACTATTGCGAAAAAAATGAATTCGTCGCGTGCACGATACTTTTACTCCATTTATGCCTCGAATTATGTAAACGAGAGTGTTAGTAAATTAGTAATATTAATAGTAAATTAGTAGTCAACATTATATCGTTCTGGTAGAGTAATCAATAATATTATTGGATTACTCTATAATACAATAATCAGTATATACTGTATAATATATTATCATCCTTTAATTGTACAGTAACATGTTTTATATTTCATCGTAAAATTGCCAATATTGCTTTCGTACTTTTCAAAATATCAAAAGCTGATCTAAATTGTTTAATTCTTTATATAAAATTAACTTACTCTCACAAAATACGTTTCAGTTTTAAGTCCTGAATATACCTTATATACATTTCGGAAATCACTTTGTACCAACGAGATATATTCGTAGTCACAAATGTATACATTTTCTTACGTTATAATTTTTACACACACGCGCGCTTGCGCTTTCGCGCGCGCGCGCGCGCGCACACACGCACACACACGCACACACATATTTCTTATGAACATAAACCTTAAGCACAAAAGATCCGTTTAAAAACAATCTATTTAAGAGATACGCTCTATTCTACTCTACTATTACAATACTTTAGTTATGATACGGTGAAAAGAAATGAGGCTAGAAACAGGTGGACAGAAATAGAGAGAGCCAAAGGGCGGAGAAATTAAAAATAAAGCGTTTGTTGTGGAGGTTGGTATCGGTCATGGTACATACCAGGATCGCCGAGGGGCAGGAGGGGGTGGGCAGAGATGCTGGAGCTGCCCATAAGGGAGCTGCTTGGAGTGGCCCCACGATAGCCTCCCCCCTCCGAGCCCTGCAATGCCCTACCACCGCTAGTCTGCCGGAACGAATTGGACCTGCGAGCAAGAGAGAGTCAAGTTCAGCATCAGACTTAGGCTGTCAAATGCCAAGCCTGTGTTCGGAACTAGCTTATCCCTTCTTTCTTTCTTTCTTTTCGTTATTGTCAACGATCGTTAGTAGGAAAAAGAAAAGGAAAAAAAATAGAGAGAACGCTTCTCGACTAACTCGACGCTACGATGCAAGGAATTATGCGGATGATATTGATTTTCCTACCAATCCACATCTTGAAATACGATGCGATAAATAAAAATAGATTACTTCTGATACGATACACGGTCAACACCGCCATTAAATGATTTCTCACTGCAATGTAGTACATTATTGTCGACACACGTAGTTATCTTTTATACTTTTAATTACGCAATGTTACAAGGTGAAAATGTCACTTAAAACGTTTAAATGTGCAGACAACTTTATATATGCATATGTACTAATTATATATATGTATACATATAAAATTAGTAAATCAACACGGGTTGTGTGAAGTGTCGCAAGTGCAACGGAGAACTGTGTATCACCACTGAATTTGGGAACGGTGAAAAGACAGCCATTAATTTTAATGGAATATGAAATTGTAAAAAGGAGGGCTGTCCTACTCTCAAAAGTGCCATACGGAGTACACTTTATAGGAATATTAATTAATATAGAAATTTTTATTCGCGCCTATTATTCGCAAATAGCCATACGTGCAGTAATTGTATGAAACACAAGAGAAATATCTTGCGTGTTCCAAAGCATAAATACAGAGAAAAGTGCACTTTTAAAATAAATAAACCTAATGTCGTATTTAGATTTTAATGCATTCAACTTTTACGCATATAACTGCTCATCAAGAACAATCAAAGATTCATTCAAAATTGGATTTCCATATATTTCACGATTATTGCTCTTGAGGTGAAACAAAGCCTCGAAGAGGTAAAATATAAAAAGACGTAGAATCGTCTTAATACAGAGAACTTTTTAGCAAAAAGTTGACATGTAGTAATGCATGGATGATGTTAAGTTATTTATAAACAAATTTATCGTTACGCGCGCGATATGAATCTTTTTATCAATTGACGTTTCAATGTATAAAGGCGTTTCTCAACCGTGCATCGATATCGCACAGCAAATGAATATCTGCCGGCGGTATGTACAAGAATATAACTTCTTATCTTTCTTCGACTGTATCATATAACAGACTATCTTCTATTTTAAAGAACAATCTACAGCTATGGACAAATATCTTGTTGGATAGAACTGTTAGGGCAGTGAGATGTGGTACTTTGCTGTGTATTATTAGATATACAACAATATAAATAATTAGTGATCACGCTATTGAGAGAGGGTACACTCATCATTCGGGTTTATCGTGCCTGATGGTGAGCCTGACTCCCCGCCACCCCTGTCCGAGCAGGCAACACTGACAAACGGAAATATAAAAATGGATATGATAAAACTGTTTCCGCTATTGGAAATTGGAAACGTTTGGATATTACATGTATAAATAATCGACTTGTATCCCGGCAAAAGCAAGACCGTGCCACCTCCTATCTTACTCACAAGTTTGGTGCGCTTGTTAATAAAAATCTCAATGGTACAAACCAACATTAGGAGAACAGTACGTGGTCTGCATGCACTACCTACATATTACATGGGTATCCAAGAACTCTTTTAATTATTCAACAACTCTTCGATCTCTCAGTGGAACTTACCTTTGAAATGTTTGCCTCTTCACGTAATTATCTCGAACAAATTCAACAATTTGTTTCTGAGTTTTGCCGCTGTACCTGGTGATACATAAATGCACAACAATGTAGATATTTTTATTATAATACAAATTATAATATAGATTGTCCAAATTGAAAGTACTAATTATTTTTTCAGCTTACGCATTATCGCGTTATAAACATACAGTATTTAAATTTAAACAAAATTTATATATTTATTTAATATATGCATATTAATATTATGTGAAAATTGGACGTTAACCTTTTTAAACAAATATAGCAACATTCTTGGAGCTAATTTGACATACCTGAACGACGATCCACGGCTAAGCATTCTGGTTTTCCTCACGATTCTCTTAACTACAGAGCAACGGAAGAAGCCATGGTTTTCTACACATTTTTTCCAAAAGTTTTTACACTCATTACGTCCCTCAAAGAAAAATTCGACTGTATCCTTATAATACCCCTATAGATAAATAAAAAATAAATAAATACATGATTGCGACAATGTTACATTTAAATACAATATATTAATTCAATGCTTCCATGCAAAAAATAATTATTTTCAAGTACTAAAGATATTTTAAATACTCACATAACCTTCGGGATGTAATTTGATTAAAAAACGTTTTCGCTTGAAACTGATTTTTCTGATTTTGGCCCAACTAAATGTATTTATCTTAGTATAATTTTGAAAGACTACAATGCCCATGTGCGCCACTGCGAGATTTAGTGGAACATTTTCATGATCCTAGCAGAGAAAAAAAAAGAACAAAGATATAAAGATATTTTATGTACATACAACGCGATGCCAGAGTATAAATCTTTTAATATCGCCTACCTTAGCTGGATGCATTTTCATTCCATACAATTCGCAACGTCGAGCCGTTTCTAAGAGATTGAGATCTGCCTCCGCAGGAGATTGACCCCTGTTAACATTAATTAAAACGATATATGCGCGTATGCCCGATATTAGTAGAAAATTATTTACTTAATAAGGTATGATATATATTTCTTACGCATGTTTCTTGTGGTTCTCCATAATACGTCGTTCTAAAGCTTGATCCTGATGAGGCACAAACTTGTATGTTGATAAATACGTATGATCTGGATAGTCTTCTATCACATAATCGCCACATTCAGCTACAAATGAGAAAAAATATTTTAAAGATAGATGACAACAATTTATTAAACAATGGAATAAGATGAAAAGATATTGCGAAACAATTAACACGGTAATTTGTCAGGCTTAGATATAAAATTAATGGTGACAGAAACAACCCGTATAATTACCCTGGACAATATAACTGGCCATCAATGCTGCTGTGTTATCATTGCATTGCAGTAAACCTTGAGCTAAATCCCGTTTGATTTGTAGACAGAATAAATATCTTGTAAACTCCTCTTCAAGCTGTGCAGGATCTGGCGTATAAAATTTAACACAGAACCTCAGTAGCGGATCGATAAGAGACAAACCGATTTGTCTGCACACTGGTTTCTCCAAATCCAACCAATACTGTAAACGATAGAATCTTTAATTTCGTTGCTCATTAACGAACGTTATTTACGGTAAAAGTCACAGCTTACTCTTGTGAAATTTGGCTCTTGATATTCAAGACCAAAGTAATCCGCTTCTAGAAGATGCAATTGCTTACAAACTTGATCGAACAACACTCTACCCATTGCCTTGGCCTGAAATTTTCAAATAATAAGATTCATACGACGCAATTATGATAAGCTCTGGTAACTAGTTGACAACAAGTTGTTAAATTATAAAATGCCGGCGTCTCTTTACTGTGTTAGATTTTATAAATAATTCTCACACAGAAATACGTCAATGAAAATCATACGATCGAGAGCTGCAAGTGTGCAAAATAGTCTTATTGTACTTTTACTGTAAAAAGATAAGACGCTGGAACAAAATTAATCTCTGAAGAAATAAGCAACGTGTTGCAAGCATTGTAAATAAATAATCAATAAATGAGTATACGTATTTCGCACACATTCAAGGAGATCCCCCATTTGATACATTATATGCTCCAATAGCTCATTCTTCTGGAAATATATGCACTATACAACACGTATGGCATGTGCCGCGCCAATATAAAAATACACAATATTGCAAGCTAATAAAAATTTTTTAATATAAATAACAAAATATCTCTTTATCAAGATCAATTCTAAGGTTCCTTGGAAAGTATTCGGAAGGTCCGGTTCATCTGTGCACGTAGATGCAATAACATTATGCGGAAACGCCTCATAATATTTCGTGAGATAAATACGTGGTTTTTAAAAGTGACCTAAAAATGTGTGATAACGTAACAAGAAAGTGAAAACCTTCTGCACCGGGATTTCACGTTAAATGGCTTAGGGTGGAGATTCTGAAGAGCCTTTGTAATCAATGACTCTTGACCTGGATACATGAAGTAAATAGTTTAACGTGCCAATATAGCAGAATGTAGGATGACGGAACTGATGCATATGCAGACTTTTCGATTACATAAAAGATAGGAACGATCGCAAGTTCAAGTTACATAAAAGTAACGATGGCAAACATATTAAATAATGTATATACTTTACGATTAGATTATATCAAACGGGAGAGATACGGGCTCTCGTGGATTAGATTATTTAATGGCGTTTTAATACGCTGATAAAATACACGCGGGCAGAGCGTTGCGCCCGTATCAGACTACGGATCGAGATCGAGATTAGATTGAAATTTGACCAATCGCGGTAAAGTTTACTAATCTCAAATTTATTAACTTTCACTCTAATTGGTCAAATTTTCAATACAATCTCAATCCGTAGTCTGATACGGGCTTAAAGGCCGAGTCAGACTAGCAATCGCCGACTCGGATTGGATTGGGATTGGCGATCGACGATTGTCCTCTAGCCAATGAGAGTCGATTAAATCGCCGGCTGCTTTGCGCTCATTGGCTAGAAGACAATCGCCGATCCCAATCCAAGCCGAGTTGGCGATTGCTAGTCTGCTTCGGCCTTAAACTCGCGAATGCGATAATAGGGGACCGCCACGCTCAATTGCCGCGTAATGTAGAATTATGAAGGTACAATGAGAGGTTCAAGCATCATTCAACGTCACTTTGCGACATTCGTCCCGACGGCGGGTCAACGTAGGGCGCGAGGAGTCGCCTTTGCCAGCGGCAGACGGCAAATATATTTCCACATACAGTTTGCATATATTATAAATAATGTACAGGAAGGTCTCGGAACAAAAACAAACACATTACGCCACGTGAGGAGCTAAGGGAGCTCAGGATATTCTTAACTGGCATTTATTTATGGGTTCTATCGCATGACCTTAGACAAAAACTCTTGTGTTTTTCCTCGCTATGAAGGGTACACTTTAAGAAGCGACTTCGAAACCTTACCAGCGAGAGGCTGATCGAATCTGCATTAGAACGCTCCAGCTGCGTGCGTACAATTCTCTCGCACGCCGAGGCGCGCGAGCTCTCCGAAAGTCAATCGGTGGATTATCGCTGAAAACTGTCAACAGTCGCTGATTTGCAATTATAAGTATACCGCTGAAAATCGCAGCGGTACACTTGGCACTGTAATGCCCGGTTTCGCTTAACTTTAGTCTTAGTTTAACTCGTGCTTGTCTCTTTCTAAAGTAACAGTCGAAAAGAGACGAAGAACGAATTAAGCTAAGCTTGAAGTTAAACAACGTTGGCGAAACCGGGCCTAAACCGATGACCGTTTTTTCATGATTGATCGTGTTCGGCGATAATCCACCGATTGACTTCCCGAGAGGAGGATATTAATCAAGGGTGAGATAAAGCATCCTTTACCTGCACTTGAAACATCGTGATAGAGTCATCCAACATCTGTACACGAACCGCCAGCATCTTCCCGGCTTTCCGCGGTGTCGCGGGAGGTGTCCTACTACCTCCGTCCACACCGGCTGGCGTCGAATGACTGTGAGGCATTTTCGAGCCGGCGCCCTTCATACCAAAGCTCTCTATATCATTCATCTTGAGTCATTTATTCTGTCTTGGTTCTGGCGAACGTTTAATGCGTGTGTTCTCTCTCAAAAAAAAGGGACAATCGATGCGTCCGTATTATGTCATCATCTGCAACGAGAGAATTGCGAGAGGTAAGAGATCACGTTTAAATAGCCTACGGTGAAAAGAAAAACAATCCGGAAAGAGAATCAATCTACGGTGCGCGACTATGAGCGAAACGCCGATAAGGACGACGAGCTCGAGTGAACTCTGTGTCAATTTGACATAATATGGATACTTGAGACGGGAAACTTATAGTCAGCCCAACTGGCTAGTTATTTAATTAGCTTATTACACAGCGTTGCGACCCTATTCTTTTGGGTCCTTTTCGAGTGATACTGCAAGTCAACAACAACGCAATTATGAAATAATGTAGGCTAATAAGTAAATCGGATTTAGTTAAAAAGTTAAGCTGCCGCGCCTAAGTCAGTCATCGTCGTCGAATAAGACAGAGTCGAGTTATAAAATGTATGCCTACGTGTGAGCACTGTGGTAGCTGGGCTCGAGCTAATTTGTTAGTCACGTCTTCGGAACAATACAAGGCGATATTGCGAACTATACAGTTTTGATTACACAGTCGTATATTACATTTAAGTTTTCGGTGTCTGTCTGTTGACCCCCAAAAAAGCATTAGCCTCCCCTAAACATTAACAGAGTATCAGTGTGATGATTATGTTAAATTAACAGAAAAAATTTGTGTGGACCGTTTGAGACATGCGATATCTGTTAAATTTAACACAAATTTCTCAACTGCGTAGAATAAAATCAACATTTTATTCTGTAAATTTTAACGGATGAATTTTGTTACCAATAATATCGAACGCATGTATTGTGCCAGATTGAAAATAAGTACACATTGCGTTGTTTTAACATTTCCTTTCAGTTATCTTAGTAATTTTACAGGTCAATTAACTCAAGAGCAATAAAATGAATGCGTTAAACGTTTAACACAAAAATTTTAACCGGCATTTTTTTTAACAAAAAGAAAGCCGCAAAATTTTCAACTGTGTTGGGATCAGAAAACTTGATTACGAGGGGCGAACCGCTGGTCGAAATCGTGTACACCACATACCTACTAATGCCAGGCGGGCATTACTTAACTTTATAATCTTACTTTATCTTGTTTATCCCGTTCTATCTTATTTTATCTTTATAATGCCCCAGCAAGGCCTAATGCCCCAAAAATGCCCAGTGATGCCGCAAATCTGTGCACCACAACGTCCTCAGCGGTTTACCCCGCGACTCGAGTGAATTCGTTGGGCTCCGAAAACTTAGTTACGCAAACAGAACGTGGACAATCCTAAGCGATTACAATAGCAGCGTCACGCATGTCGAAAAAGTGAAAGTACAATGGGAGGGTAGGAGCGGAACGTCCCCTTTTTTTTCAATTGTTCTCAACTTTATGGAGCAGTCGTTTAACGCGCGTCTCCTTAAAAGGGACAATCAATATACCGTGTCGTCAGCTGTAACGAGGGAACTGTGGCAGATAAGAGACTGCATTTGTATACTCCACGAAGAAAAGGATGAAGGAGAAGAGTCTACCGATGTAAAAGAAATACTCCGACGATAAGAATGACGAATTGAAGCGAGCTCGTTGGGCCCCGAAAGGCCCCAGCAGGGCCTGTAATGCCCAAAAAATGCCCAGCAACGCCGTAAATCTGTGCGCCCCAATGCCCTCGACTTAACTGAATTCCTTGGGCTGCGAAAAACTTAATTACGTAAACGGGACGAGGAAAGTCGCGAGAGGCTGCAACAGCAGGGAGTCACGCGTGTCGAAAAGGAAATACAACGAGAGATACTCGAAGGGCAGGGGAGGCGCGCGGGGGCGTCCTTTCTCCAATTTCCCCCCGGAGTCGAGGCAGCGCGACTCTCGCGCCGTTTTCCGAGGAGAGATTCGCGCGAGCGGACAGGGAATCCCGCTGGCGAGCCCCGCCGAAGCGGGGCACGCGGGAGAGCGTCTCTCGCCTCTATTCCCGACGCGCTGCTCCACTTTCGGCTGCCACCCTGCCACGCGTAGTGACTCTTTTAAAAGCGCATCGATTCGGTCCCTCGTTTCCTTCGCCGTCCTCCGTTTCCTCGCGGGGCTACGGGGTGTTTACATAACGCGCGGCGGGGACGAGCCGCGGCTGTTGTGTAAATCACCCGCGTCGCTGCCTCGTTTCGGCACCGCCGAGTCTCGGCGCGTCTCGCGTTCTCGCGCGCGACATCAACCGCGCGCGGCGACGACGACGGCGACGGCGGGATCTCGCGAGCGAGCGAGCGGGCCTAGGACGGGATTGGGAGGGCGGGAGAAAGGGACGAGTGGACGTGCGCCTCGTCGTATACTCCGCTCGCTCCGTTCGCCTCGCTTTGCCCCCGCGCGTTATGGGCGCGCACCGCCGCGCCGCCCGCGCACGTCCGTCCGCGTATACGTGCGTGGTCGTCGTAATTGCGAGTTCCTTGGCGCGGCGCACCGAAAATGGAAGCCGCTGGCTCGCCGTCGTCTCCGTCGCGAGGCAGGGCTCGGGCGCCCTTGGCGCGCTCCGCGAAACCTCGGACACGCTTATACATGTCGCGAATACAGGGAGCTAAGAAGAGGGAAGGAGACGGAGAATTGGCTGGGCGACTTATTTGTACGTACGTCCTGCCGGGTCGTCGCTGGTGCGCGATGCTCGCTGCCAGCACGCCTCGACACGCGTCAACCAGAGTTCATTGATCACTGAGACAGCACCGCTGCGTTCGCCGGCCGCTTCCGTCGACCGCTACTGTGTACTTTCCTCGCGGCGGCGGCGGCGGCGGCGGCGGCGGCGGCGACGATGACGACGACGACGGGAGGGAACGCGACGGTCGCGTCGTCGTTAATGGGTGGCGATGCGGCAGCCCGCCGATCTCGCGGCGCCGCCCGACGTCGTAGGTGCGGCGATGTGTGCGCGACGATGCTCGACCATCGAGCGCGTACCAGAGCCCCAAATCGGAGCCATCACGCACACACACGCACACGCGTATACATAGCGAGGGAGATATACGCGTGGTGTATATCTCTCTCTCGCGAAACTCGTACACAACACGCGCGCACACTGGCGAGACGGCGGACGGTTGTCCGTATCTCCGCCTAGGCACGATTTACACGATATGCGCAGTAGTGCTTAAAAACTGGGCATCGCCATTACATTACGTTCCGTTCCGTTCCGTTGCCTCCGCGTCGCGCTGCGTTACGTCGCGTCGCGCTGCGCTTCTCCACCTCCGTCGCTCGTGATCGCGCCGCAACGTAGGGCCGGTCTACCGAGGGCGCGACGTGTACGAAGGGCGGTGGCACCGGTCCCCGCGAGCCGCGCGTCCCGACATCTGGCAACCGCGGTCGATAGCAGGTGGCGCGGATCGCGCTGTCGCAGGTAAGTTACCGTGCGAGGCCCTCGGGAGCGCTGCGTCACCGACCGACGATTAGGTTAGATTTCTCGTTTACCTAGTGTTGTACAGAGAGAAACCTGAGAGCAGCCACGCCGGCGTTTTACTTTGATACCGTTACAAGAGACTGTTTTGCGCGCTTTTACGCCCATTTTTTTTCTCTTGGAACTATTTTGCTATGCATTTTTTGACACTGCCGAAGTCACCAATTGTGCGTGCTCGTGCTATGCCTGCGTTCGTTTTCTCCTACCGGGAGCATAAACGATACTGAAAGTCTATAATTTACGTAACGTAAACTGTAGAGTTTCAGCACAGATTAATAGACAGATCGCCAAAATTAAGCCCGGGTGAAAACGAGACCACTATTATTAATCTGTGCTCACGTCGTGTATTGAATAGCAAACCTAATTTATGTTCACTCAATATTCATTTTTCTAAATCTACACATAATGTATGTAATTGCACGGGTTTTTGTCGATAATCCCCTCCTCGGGTACTACCTTGTCGTGGTGGAGGGGCTTGAGTACCCCGAAGAGTTACTCTCTAAAAATCAATCACCCTGGTAAAAATTCCGTTAGAAACGAATAGAA